CTCACATATATGGGGCTTTAAGAACCTAGCTCTTTTCAATGGGTACTAATCACCATCCACACTGAGGTTTCATTCCGAGTTCCATCTAGGAAGGCATTCTTGTGGTAGAGGCACGGTCACCTCGTCCACCACAAGACCCTATTCTATCATCTAACCCTAATTTGTTAGAGGGCTCATACCCGTCTAACTCTAAAACTCCATACCCATCATAGAAGCTCAAGAAGGCTAGTAGAAGATTAGGGCGACATACCCAAGCATAATTAAAGCAGATGAAGCATTAAAATCAACTAGACAACTATATTCATTTAAAACCCTAACATATTCATCCATTACATAATAGCCCTAAAGCTAGGGTTTGGGGTTTAGAACCCCTAGTAACTTAGAAGACTACTCCATAAAGGTGGGAAGAAGATACGTAGAAGAAATTGGGGAAGACTTGATGTTGAGGAAGATGGCTCCTCTCTTCTAGCTTCTCCTCATTCTCCTCCTTCTCCTCTTCTCCTTCCTTATGCTTCTCTCTCTTCTCTCTCTCTCCAAACCAGAAATTTCTATCTCAAAATCAGCTCTCTTCAAATGGGGAAAGGGTCCTCTATTTATAAACTTTAGGGGCGGACAAGTTCGCGGCCGAGCAAAGGAAGATCGTGGGTGTGATCTTTTCCTCCGAGATCGCGAGCTTCAGACGTCGCCATTTTGGTCTTCGGTTGCTGGGACTTCATAGGCTGACTTTACGGTCACGGTCCTGAGTTGCGGCCGCCAACTTCCTCTCGGTTAGGAAAGACGGTCACCGTGATCAGGCTGGAAAACTTTTTGTTCTCTTCTCAGTTGGTTCTTCACAAAGTTCGCGCCCAAGTCCTCATGATTCGCGGCCGTGAACTTGGGTTCTCAGACCGAGATATTCACCTCTGCTTCGCGCTCTGCTTTCTCGGCCGTGATCATTGGCTTCCTGCCCATTTTGCTACACTTGTTGCTCTTTTCATACCTAATTCACATATATCGTCTAAAGCACCCTAAAATCACGATATAATCAAATAGGAACCAAATAGGGACGCAATTGATGATATTCTTCTGATTATGCACATGAATTAGAATGAAACAAACATAAATATGAATGGCAATTAACACCAGTTTGGGTGTTATCAATCGTCATGGATGAGGACGAGTCAGAGGGATCTTATCGTGGGGGAAGAGAACCTGTCAGAGGACTCAAGGAGTAGCAAAAATCGAGGTAGAGGAAGAGAACTTATCATGTTGGAGGAGAATCTGTAGAAGATCTTATAGTGGTGGCGGATGATCGCGCTAACTAGTAACATGTGTTTTGTTTTTAATTTTTTTAATACAATTTTATCCTTTTATCATTATCCTATCATCACTCATTCGACTCCCAAAAAAGAAAAACCCCACAGCAAAGTTAAAAACTTATTAATAATGTCAAAGTTCAAGAAGGCAATAGGCAAGTGTTGAGACTTGAGATCATGCCTAGCACCTAAGCATATTAAGCAAAAAATAAATAGTGTTTAGTAGAAAAACAATTTTATATCACTTGTTTACTAGGTTTCAATTTCAAATGATTAATTTATAATTTAGGCAACCTCCGACAAAAATTAAAATATGCTACGATTTTCCAAAAGCACAAGTTTATAGAATCACAACTTCAAACAAAGTTTCAAACATAAGTTTGCAAAAACAACAAGTTCATAGAAATAAATAAAAAACAAAACAAAAAACATTTAAATCTAGTTCATTTGTCATCAGCCAAATAGGTTCGTTCAACCACCACTTTATCTTCATCATCCTCAAAAGTAATTTTCTCATCATCATCCCCTTTTTCCTCCTCATTAGACTTAAATTCTTCATCATGGAGCTCTCTCACTCTTGCAATTGATGATGATGATGAAGAACAACACAAAGTTGTGACATGCTCGGCAATCGGCGACAATGAAATGGATGAGGTTGCTACAGTTCCTAAGTTGTGAGCTGAGTTCTAAGTGATCGAGTTTGACATAAAATTATATTCTAATTTCCAAATAGAGAAAGAAAAGGAGAATGTAAACGCGTCGAATAGACTACTTGAAAGAAGATATCATTTTGACACCATTTTGCTGCATTTATTCTAATCCTCGGTTTGCAGTCCGCTTAAACACGCCTAAATTCGATTAATCACGCTTCAACTCGGTTAATCGTACCTAGCTACGCCTTGGTACCACTTAGGCGTTAATAAACACATAATTTCTGCTTGGTAGTTAGACGAGGTGTTTTATTGTTATCTAACATCTAGACACGCCTAAATGTATGTGAAATTAAGCATTTTTTTAATCCAACAATACTACGCTTAAAATGTTTAAAATGAGTCTAATCCTTTTTAGAAATACTAGATCATGGCCCGGCCTCTTGGCAGGGAGAATTTGATTCTCATGTTTTCATGTATAAGTGTATGTATATATTTTTGTTATGGTTCATGTTGTTGGAGTTTGAAATAAATATTTAGTTTGGTAAGTTCTCCATTAATAATATAGGAAAGTATTTGATGTATTTGACTAACGAAGTTTTAAAAATGACGAACAACGTCCAACTACACTAACATAAATACATATTTTCAAATGAAGTCGTATTGATATAAAAACGTCTAAGAAGAACAATGGTAAGAGTTGTTTTACATCATACATGCATAATCAATCTTCAGTATACGATAAAATGTTTCGACTTTTTCATTGACTTTAGTGTATTCAATGATATAATTGAACAAAGTATATGTTTAGAGTGTCCTTAATAAGAAACAAACTAAATCACACACTCATGTTTCGAGTGGCATTTCATATAGAAGTCATTGTGATATTAATGTAGTCGAAGCATGCAGATCTCCAACTGGCAAGTTCAACTAATAGAGCAACACATTAAAAGCTAAATCAAACTGAAAAGAATGCGAAAACTAAAAGCAACATACCTTATATTTTGGGGAAAATCGACAACAATAAAAGTCATTGTAGCTCGTACTCAAGTTAGAAAGACTTTGATTTAACAGTAGGTAAACAATGATATGTAGTGCTTAAGCCTTAAGAGGAAAGATGACACCTTTCCTTCTTTATTAATATGCATCTTAGTTTCATGTTTCTCAAAAAAATGCATCTTAGTTTCATAAACTTCAGAACAAAAAAGTAGTGATTCAATAATCAATATGGACACAATATCTAATCAAGAGAAGAGGAAGCGAAAAAAACACAAATTGTTGTGTATAGATTTTGCTCACGATATTTCATAGTGAAAAATATCATAAAAATTATTAACTGATAAAAGGGAACGATAAAGGGGAAAATGCATCAATTTGAACCTAAAATGAGAGGAACTCATATCCTACACCATCATACAATAATGATATATTATATCTCAAAAAATCATTAAAAATATATCTAAATGAAAAAGTATACTAAATTGAATCCATTGTAAAAGTAACAATGAAGATATATATTATATCTACCTAAGGAATAATAAAGTAAGCCATGTTTCTTAGAGACCTCTCTCGATAGAACCACTCTATGATAAAAACCATTTTGTCAAACAATTGTATCATATGAGTTTTAACTTAAAAAGTCAAGTGCTTATAATTAGCTATTTCAGCTCATAAATGAATTAATTATACCATTTGGTATAAAAAATTATAAAATTGAGAGTTATTTTGCTTGTTGTTAAATCATTTGAACTAAAGTATGAAAGTGTTTCAGAACTGTTACTTCATTCATCATTATTAAAAATTACTTTTTTATTACAACGTCTAAGCGTGTCTAGGCCAGTTAGGAGATAGACAAATGCCCAATGACCACCTTAGATTAACGTGTTGTTGACCCTCAATAAGTATAGCAGACTTAGAGAGCATCCTATAAATTTGATCACTTCTATTTGATATAATTGATTACATCCTGAACTGATCAATCAAGGAGTCTTTCGATACGATTCTGATAAGTTGTCCCCTATTGCACAATTAGTATGACTAAATTGTAATAAGATAATCATGTATTGAATTTTAATTGATAGCGAAAAAGATCGTACTAACTCAAGTAGAGTTTTAGCTACTCAGTTCTTCATATTCACATGTAGATAGCTACTTCAAAGAGTTCGAATATTGATTGAGTTTGTTGAACTACCTAACAAAACTATGATATCAATCGCAAGATATGATGCTTTTTCGAGAAATTGTGAGAATATGTTGGAGACGTCAAACCTAACATGGATACCTTTGAATTTAAGTAATAAGCAACATTCATAGTCAATAGATTATACATGAAAAAATATTCACCATTCCCATAAGTTGGTAGGAAGCAGTGAATAATTAGGAATGGAAAGCTAGAAACATAGTTGATTTAACAAATAACTGCAAAAATTATTGGAAAAAGGGGGGGAAAATGCTTAGAGTGTAGGCATGATAGTGTTACATTAAACCCTCAAACAGAAAGCAAGTAATCATTAATAGTTAGATGTGGATATTGAAATAGTTTACTAAGCTGAATACTATATACTGGTGATTAATAATTGGACCTTAGCTTGAACATTGCATCATGTTGATAAAAATTGTTTCATCAATTACAATGCTGAAATAAGGGGTTGTATATGGAAGTCTTGATTGTTTTTTTTAGATTATTAATATAAATACATTTTTATAATACAATACATATGTTTTCATTTTTGTTTATACACAATCGTGAATTATTTGCATGCTTTGACTAAACTATCACTCAAATTTATTTATTAAACAAATTCGAATTTTAGCATAGATTGTCGAGATAATTAGTATCGATGTTTGTCATGTGTAGACGAAAATACTCTTCCTACTTTCACTCTCGTTGCAGGAAATTTGAAATAGAGCAAATCAAACTCTTTAAAATGTATTATAAGTAGTGTAGATATATGCAAGTGGATTGAAGCTGAGCTGGTGGTCTATGTTCGTGGGCTGGATGGACGAGCAGACGGCCTCAGATCCCAACACCATCTCTCTGCTACCACGTGTATATCTATCTTTTTCCCTAACTCCCATTTCATTTCATCTCTCTCTCCCCTGAGGGTGAACAGGCCTCAATTCTCTCAGTTCCCCAAAGTGCCATACAACAACAACAACGTACGACTCCTGGAAAAATCAAAAAACGTATACTCAACAATCTCCCTTCCTTATATCATCAACAATAACCTTCTTCCACTTACTCCAAAAATTTAAACTCTCTCTGGGTAACTTTTTCGACTCCAGAACGTTCCTTTTGATTTGATTCAGTTTCTTCTCTGCCGGGGTGGGCAAAAATATGGCGTCCGGGGTCATCACCAGGAAATCTGGAGCCATGATGGCCACCGCTCGTTACCTCACCAGGAGAAACATGACTCATGGTGGAAGCTGTTGTGGGAATCACCATCATCCACCACCATTCGAGAGGAAGAAGCAGCAGAGTTGTTCTCGGTCTTTGTTGGGATTCTGGAGATTCAACTCCACCAAAGCTTCTGCAGTTGATGTGTATTCCAGCGATGAAGACGTTACCAATACCAAACATCATCAGGTAACTCAGTAGATTTCATTTTGTTTTATTTACCTTGTCTTCAGATTTCAGAAACTTCTGCCCCCAGGATCCTCTGTTTTTTTTTTTTTTTTTTTGTGCTACCCACGAGCTTCCTTCCAATGAATTATCCTATTTTTCTGCGTTTTCCCGGTTATTTTTTTATTTTGTTTTTCGCTGCATGATTCCAGGAAAGAAATCATCCAGCCCTTTCCGTCTTTGACTATGTGTTAGTTGATCCTTCGAAAGAGGAAGAAAGGGAAAGAAAATGTGCTAGTTGGGTTTATTATTGCAGTGCAGGGGAGCTAAGTTTGGGAAAAAAGACAAATCCCATCATTTGTCAATGCATATATTATTCTACTTGAATGTTGAGTTCCAACTAATTCTAGGCTACCATAGTTTATTAACCACATGACAATTTTTAAACTGCTTGAGTCCATGTATTAACAGCTTTTTTTTTTTTTTTTGTGTGTGTGTGTTTGATGTTGGTACAAACTCTCATACCCCACATCTAGTTTAATTCTCATTTGTCCGCATCTAAATTCGTAACGGATGAGATCTTTTTTTTGAAAAACATGCGAAAGTAATCGTTAATTATATCCCGAATTATGTATGGTTAATTTTAAATTTAAAAAAAAGTTAGTAATTAATCTCTCGAGTCTCCATATGTGAATTTAATCACCATATTACAAGTTACTTCCTCTGCAGATGGTGAAGTAACTGAAATGATTTTCAACTTCCAGTTTGGTATCTTTTCTCTTCTTGTTCCTATCTGTGTCTAGTTTCCCCTTTTCCACCTTCCTTCTTTCCAAAGAGTTGGGCAATAGTGGGGAAGGCAAAAGTCCTTCTAGTTTGGGATTCCTTTTTGGTGCATTATCCTTATCCATTTTCAAATAGATGTGCTATGGGTTTGTCACATTAGTGCTTTGTGTCATCCCAATCCAAAAAGAAGAATGGGAAGAAAGCAGAAGCAAAATCCAAAAGAAGAAGAAGAAGAAAGCAGAAGCAAATTTTAGGAATGACAAAGAGAAAAAAAGAAGAGATAAATATGAACCCAACCTCCCTCTCTTTTCCAATCCAATATTCCACAATGGATTTGGAACACATCCTTTGTTTTCTTTTATTAATTATTTAATGATTTCCAAGTCACATAAATTCTCCTCTTGAATTTTAGTACAGCTCCCCATGCTTATTGCTTAACATGTTGATGTATAATTGTTAATTCAGATTTTGTTTCATGTTCATATGGAATATCTGAAATGAGATCTTCACATGTGGGCTGTCTTGAATTGATAACTCAGAAAATTAATTCATTAGGGAACCTTTGACTAATGAAATGGGTATCACATGATTTAACTATCACTCAATTAGCAAATAGCAACCTATTGTCCAGTACCATGTCAAGTTGGTTTCACATCGTGGCTAACTGAGTTATGGTTGCCTGTAACTCGGGAAATCGTCTTTTGATCATGTTGCAAATTAGTGTTATACATAATTCATCCTAGTTTTCGGATTTTGAACTTAGATACCAGAACTTCTATCCATTGCTAACAATATATAAAACTGGGAATCACTAAAACGGGCAAATACATGACTTTAGCATTATGTGAAATTGAGCATTAACATTCATTTTATACAATACGCTGTTCCTCCCTCTTTATCCGTACTTGAGAGAATTCGAACAACTCAACAAAAAATTATTTAAAACGAGTCATCACGAAAATCCAATACCCTGAAAAAATTCATGTAATGTCTTTGTGTTGTTTCATTTTTTCAGGGCCTGGATTTCCCCGGAGGACACGTGTCGTACACTCATTCACTAAACTTCATCTCCAAGTCATCAACCCAAAACAGAGTCCCCTGCTACAGAGTCCTCGACGACAACGGCGTCGTGATCGGCGGCAGCAGCAGCAACATCTCCGGCGACTTGGAATGCCAAATCCAACAGCAACCACTGATCAGCCAGCAAACCGCACTAAAGATGTACAGAGAAATGGTGAGGCTTCAGGTGATGGACACCATCTTCTACGAAGCACAGAGGCAGGGGAGGCTCTCCTTCTACTTGACCTCCACCGGCGAGGAAGCCATCAGCGTCGCGTCGGCGGCGGCGCTCAGCTCCGACGATGTCGTCATGCCGCAGTACAGGGAGCCAGGTGTCCTGCTGTGGCGTGGCTTCTCGTTGAGGGAATTTGCCGACCAGTGCTTTGGGAACAAGGATGATTATGGGAAAGGGAGGCAGATGCCTATTCACTATGGTTCCAATAAGCTCAATTACTTCACTGTTTCTTCCCCTCTCGCGTAAGCTCAAAATATTATACTTTTTCCCCATTTTGCTCTGCGCGTAATTATATATCCAGCTTTTTGATCGCCATTTTTGGGTTTTTCTTTCTCGTGTTTGTTTTTCACTTTCAGTACTCAGATCCCTCAGGCTGCTGGTGTGGCGTATGCGCTTAAGATGGAGAAGAAAGATGCATGTGTCGTCACATTTTTCGGCGATGGTAGCTCCAGCGAGGTAAGAAACTCGAGGAATTTTACAATTTTATATAGCTTTGATGGTATAGGTTTTTGCTTTTATGGTAGTATTGAAGCAACAGGACCATGTTATGAAAAACAGAGCACGTAAGTGCTCGTTTGGATGAAAGATTTGAGGAGGCATGCATGATTCAGCTGCTTCTCTGTCTCGATTCCTATTTGCAGGGAGATTTTCATGCTGGATTGAACTTTGCGGCAGTCACAGAATCCCCAGTGGTATTCGTCTGCAGGAACAATGGCTGGGCCATCAGCACCAATGTATCAGAGCAGTTTCGAAGTGAGTAACCACTGTACTATCCTTCCCCATATCTCTTCTGGTCAGATCTTGAGCCCTTGTTATTGCTTCCACTCAGAGACCTCAGAGCTCTAACGTGGGTTATTGGCTTGGGCTTCACGTTTGCAGGCGATGGCATTGTGGTCAAAGGACAAGCATATGGAATTGACAGCATCAGGGTCGATGGGAATGATGCTCTTGCTGTCTACAATTCCATTCGTGCCGCTCGTCAAATGGCGGTCAACCAAGGAAAACCCGTATTAGTCGAGGTGAATCACTCTGAATCGAATATGATTTGTTGTGATATGTATAACCATGTGTTCACGACAGGTTCTGACGTGTCAAATTTGTTGTGATTCTTTTGCCTCAGTTTCTAACGTATCGAGTAGGACATCACTCTACATCCGACGATTCGACTAAGTATCGCCCCATGGACGAGATCGAGCACTGGAAAGTGACTAGAAACCCAGTGAGTAGGTTTAGGAAGTGGGTTGAAGGCAATGGTTGGTGGAATGAAGATGAAGAATCGGAGCTCAGAAGTGCAACCAGAAAACAACTATTGCAAGCAATTCAAGCGGCGGAGAGAACTCAGAAACCTTCACTGAAAGAAATGTTCTCCGACGTTTATGATGAAACGCCGTCGAATCTTCGTGAGCAACAGGAACAACTTCGAGAAATCATCAAAAGACACCCTAAAGATTACCCTTCTGATATTCCTGTCTAGAGCGTGTACATTTTATGCATTCTTTTGATTGATTTCGCTAGTATGGCATGTGGGTATTAGAGAGGCAAGAAAGAAAATGGTGCATAAATGAACTGAAGTTGTAAATGGAGTTCATGATTTATACTTTTGTATATAACCTAACTAAGATCAATAAAATTCTCCTTCTAGATACTTTTTTTTGTTGAGAAAAATGACATAGTTGTTGATTCCTATTTCCCCCTTAATGAGATATATTAAAAATTAATAAGGAGGAAGAGGGGCTTTTTTATAGCAAAACGCTCCGAAGTTTCCTGGGATTTTTCACAGATTGCGAAAGAAAGCGATAACTAGGTTTTTTTCTTCGCGCGATGGCGGCGGAGGCGCCAACACCGGCGTCGACTGGCAAAGGCAAATCCCCCGAAGTGGCTGGAGGGGTCCGACGCTTGGCCGAGGTCTCTTCGTCACCAAACGGGAAGAACACTAAGGAATTCACCTAGGCTAAAAAAAGACCTAGGGCTACAGCTCGGGCGCAGGAAGCGGTTGAGGTGGAAGATGTTACGGAACTGGAGATGGAAATGGAGCAAGCTGATGACCACGGCCGCAATCAATGGAGTGCGGGGGCGAGACGACTGTTCAGTGATGTTGTTCAACAGGATCAATGGTACATAGCGGAATCCAATACGAAGGACGTTGACCAGATGTAGAAAGAAGATGATGATATAGAAGATGAAGAAAACTATGACCCAACATGCCCCACAATATGTTTCTCGGCAGCTGAGAAGATACGACGGAGACGTGAGTGGAGGTCGGCTCTGGTGGTGAAAGGTTTGGGACGCAAAGTGTCATACCTACCACTTGTTAAAAGATTGAATTTCTTATGGGGAAGGAACGGGGAATTACATATATCGGACATGAAGAATGGCTGCTTCCTGGTTCGTTTCCGGAATCAGAAAGATTATGAACTTGCGACAGAGGGTGGACCGTGGCTGCTATGCGACACCTACCTCACCATTCATCGATGGTTTAAGGGTTTTAACCATTGGAAAACAAAGGTACTTTCAACGATGGTGTGGGTACAGTTGCCGGAGTTGCCAATTGAATTTATCAACAAGGAAGCAGTCATGAGAATTGCGGCGGCTATCGGGGAACCTATAAGGGTGGACCGAGCTACGGAACTAGGAGCAAGGGGGAAGTTTGGTCGAGTGTGTGTGGAAGTTGACCTAACGCGACCTCTGCTGTCGCAATACAAAATTGAAGGGGTCACATATATTATACAATATGAAGGCTTGGATAAGGTATGTACTGACTGTGAGAAGTATGGGCAGTCGACAGATTTATGCTCTTGCCATGATATGACAGGAGAGAAGGATGACATGGGGGAAGAGGCTCCAACGAGCCCAACACAGGACCTAACGAAGGGTAAGACCTATGGTGACTGGATGGTGGTTCAGCGAAAAGGCTGGAAGTCTTCTCGGCAGGGAGGGTTTAGTCAACGTAGCTCGGTGGAGGTGGGAAATAGTAACCGTTTCCATGCATTCCATGCAAAGGAGGGGGTTATGGGCGTGAATTCTGAAGATGCGGGCGGTGATGAGAATTTGGGAGATCAGGGGGTTAAAGCGACCAGGGAAGTGGGCAAGAAGCCATTTGTTGTGAATAAAAAGATTCAACCGGAAGAGCAAGTGAAGGGCAATAATGGAGGGAATCAAGTTAATTATATGGAGTCCCCTCTGCTGGTGAATGGGAGCAAGGGTAATAGCCAAAAGAAAAAAGATGTGAAGGCTACAGGGAGAGAGTGAACCTTAGTAAGCATAAAGAAGCTGTAGAGGAAGCAGTGAATTCTGGAAAAAGTCCGGGGGTGGTAATCGGATCTCAGAGGAATACGAAACGAGCTTTTAAGTTATAACTGTCGTGGACTGGGGAGCACACAGGCAGTGAGATCCTTAAAGTCGCTTTTACGACAACCTTCCCCGCAGATCGTGTTTCTGATGGAAACGCGTCACTGTGTGATGAGAATGAGGTGACTAGGAAGGAGTTGGGGTATAAGAATGGCAAGAGCTGGCCTACCGATGTTTCAAACGGGGGTCGTGCGGGAGGATTAAGTATCTAGTGGAATGATGAGGTTGAAGTTACGGTGATGTCGCGAACCAAAAACCATATTGATGTAAAAGTTGAAGATGTGGTGATAGGGGAATGGCGGTTCAGGGGCGTGTATGGCTGGCCAGAAAGCAGTGAAAAGGAACAGACCTGGGCGATGATACGGCAGCTGGCAGCACAGTGGGAGGGGTCGTGGCTGTGCGGAGGGGACTTGAATCAAGTCCTTGCGGAATCGGAGAAGAAAGGTTGTAACCAGCCGGTTGAGGTGGAGATGAGAATGTTCTCTGACTGTCTTGTTGATGTAGGTTTGCAGGACATTGGTTTCTCGGGCTATCCATACACGCGGGAGAATAGGAGAAGGAGGGGTTGTTATATAGAGGAAAGGTTAGATCGGTTCTTGGCAAACGAGAGGTGGTGGGAGAAGTGGCCAAATGCTAGAGTAGTTCACCTCGATAGTACAAGGTCTGATCATCGACCAATCCTTTGTAAAACATTGGGTGAGGAAGATGAGGAGGTAAAGTGGGGGTGGTCATTCCATTTCGAACCTCACTAGTTACAACATGAAAGCTGCAATCAGACAGTAGAGGAAGCATGGAGCTCAGGCATGGGAGATGTGTTTAGCAAAATCAGCCAAATGAGCAAGAAGTTAGACAGCTGGAGTCGTACGGATTTACCTGATTTCCGTAGGCAGAAAGCTAAAGTTAAACGATCGTTGCAGGCTCTGGAAAGATGCGAGCAGTCAGATGTGATTCTAGATCAGAGACAACAGCTTCAAACCGAGCTGGAAGACATGGAATGTGATGAATAAATTTTTTGGCAACAACGCTCCCGGGTGGATTGGCTAAAAGAAGGGGACAAGAACACGAATTATTTTCATCAAAAAGCATCGGCACGGAGAAAGAAACACTATCAGAAAGATAAAAGATGAGTCGAGACAATGGTGGCTAGGCCAGGAACAGGTTTTCACATGTCTCACAAACTACTATGCAGGCTTGTTTACGGCAGGGGAGCGCCCAATTATTACCCCGGTTCTTGACTCCATTCGCTCGCGGGTATCGGTGGAAGCAAATGAGAAGCTGACCAGCCAGTTCACAAAGGATGAAATTTTTATGGCGCTAAAACAGATGGGTAAGAGGAAGGCTGCGGGAGCTGATGGTTTTTTGGTCTTGTTTTTCACAAATATTGGAGCCTTGTGGGAGACGAGGTCGCGACAACGCTGCTGCAAATTTTGGAGAGAGGGACGATGCCGGGTGACCTTAATCATAATCTCATTGCACTTATTCCGAAAGTGATGGACCCGCAAATGGCGAAGGACTTTCGCCCCATCAGTTTATGTAACGTGTTGTATAAGTTAATTGCGAAAGTTCTGGCCAACCAATTGAAAGTGATTTTGGATGGGATTATCTCTCCTGAGTAGAATGTTTGTCCCAGGTAGATTCATAGTGGATAACGTGATGACTGCATTCGAGTGCTTCCACACGATGAAGATAAAGTCAAAGAATAAGAAAAGATGCTTTGCAGCAAAGACTGATATGGCGAAAGCATATGATCAAGTGGAATGGTGGTTTTTGGAGGGGGTGACGAGAAGGATGGGGTTCTCGGAAAGATGGATTGGCCTGATAATGATGTGTGTTCAGTCGGTAACATACTCTATTCTAGTTAACGAGCACCGTTCGGAGCAGATTGTGCCAAGTAGAGGGCTGAGGCAACGGGACCCTCTCTCCCCGTATATTTTCGTGCTGGTGGCAGAGGGGTTAAGCTCTTATACTTCGAAGGCGGTGAAGGAGAAGAAGATCCATGGAATATCGGTGGCGGGGGGGCATCGGTGATCTCACATCTTTTTTTTTTTTTTGCTGACGACTCTATATTTTTTGCCAGGGCTACAGTTCAAGAGAGCAAAGAACTCCGGCGGATCCTGCAAGATTATGAGAATGATTCGGGTCAGCTTATAAGTCTGGAGAAGTCGGAGGTTACTTTTGGTGGCAGTGTGAAGCCGCATCAACAGCTTCAAGTGAGTTCACTTCTTGGTATGCGTCGAGTAGAGAAGCACAATAAGTACCTGGGATTGGTCACTGAAGTTGGGCGGTCTAAGAAAGCATTGTTTACATATCTAAAGGAACAAGTTCGGAAGAAGCTGGCGGGTAGGAAGGAACGGGTGATGTCGGTGGCAGCAAGGGTTGTACTGATAAAGTCTGTGGCCTAGGCTCAACTAACGTACATGATGTCTGTGTTTCGAGTTCCGGAGGGCATTATCGATGACATACATGGGCTTATTACTAGGTTTTGGTGGGGCCAACGAGGTGAGGAGAAATGAATTCCATGGATGTCGAGGGAGGAACTGATTGTGCCAAAGGTGGACGGGGGTATTGGTTTTCGGGATCTAAGAGGGTTTAATACGGCTCTCCTTGCGTGACAACTTTGGAGCCTGCATAGCCGACCATATTCTCTCATATCCCGAGTGTTGAAGGCCAAATATCATAAAAAAGAAGAGATTCTGGACACAAGTGTGGGATATCGGCCGAGTTATGTGTGGCGAAGTTTGATGAGTGCTCAGGAATTCCTTGTGAGCGGATTAAGGTGGCGCATAGGCAATGGATCGCAGGTAAGGGTATGGGGTGATCGTTGGATTTCCACTACGCCTGGCTTCATAGTCCAATCGCCTCCTATGGGTATCCCGGTTGACTCGACTGTCCGGAAGCTGATTGATGAGGAGTCCGAGCAATGGGATAAGGACTTAATTGAAAGCTGCTTTACAACAGCAATGGCGGAAGCCATCGTCCGTATTCCTTTGCGTGGACACCTTGAGAAAGATCAATTAATTTGGGCGGAGAGTAAAGGCGGAGACTACTCAGCGCGGGAAGGTTACAAGAAATGGATGCGGCATTTCCGAGCTGACAGCGGACAAGTGCCGACTGGGGATCCAAGGTTATGGAAACAACTGTGGGGAATGAACTTGCCACCAAAGGTGAAACACTTTATGTGGCGTTTTGCCCGAGACTCTTTAGCGACAGGGAATCATGTGAGTGCTCGTAGTCAAAGACGAGGAGATGCTTGTCCGTTTTGTAACATGAGGAGACCCAAGTACATATTTTTGGA